ATTCTGGAGATAAATTATGTGATGTTTTTGTGAGAAATGAAAAAATTGATTTTAATAGGAACAGAGTTGTTTTTTTAATAATTTGAAAAGTTTGTTTAAAGTACTAGTAATCTGATTATCTAGTAAGTTAGTCGGTAAATTTTGGGACTAGTCATTCAGAGATTTGAATTCTATTGCCATCTAGCTAAACATTTTAGCTTCAATCATCAACCTTATTCTAAGAATATACATGAAAGGTACTCAATGGGTTATTTAAATGGAAAGAGCAAAGTGGTTTTCTTCAGTGAGCACATTTACATCTGATTTGTATGTAATTTTTCTTCCGTTTCGCATGTAAAATTGATAATTAGGTAAAGGCATTAATCAGCTGATCAGCCGTGATTGTAACAAGCCAAAATCTACCAATCTGAATATTTGTAAGTTGTCTGCATGTATGTAGGCCTCATGCTAGTTTTTTTTTTTCCTACGCGTTCCCCAGTGGAACATAGGGCTTCAAGCTAGTGGCTTGAAGTTTCTGTAGCAGTGTTTATTTTACAGAATGGGGTTGTTAGCCTCATGCCCAACCTTTCCTCTTCACCAGCATTATTTCTGGCTTAGCGAGGTAAAGGAGTGCGTCTGCCGGGGATCGAACCCCGGACCATGTGCATGGTCGGCGAACGTCCTAACCGCTATGCCACCGACGCACTCTCATGCAATAATCAAGTATATATTTAAGTATATATTCCTGCTATTATCAATATGTAATAATTCAGTTTCGAACATCTTTAGTGGTGAGACTGATTACAAGAGTTTTTCCTCACCCAAAAGTACTCCTGAAAACATTGAACATAATGCATATTTGGCGTTCCTTTAATTCTTTAAATATTCCCATTTTTAATATTAGAACAAGACATATAAGCGAACAATATTGTTTTCAATTAGATCTTCTTCAGGCTTTACTCGAATTTACATAGATTTATATATAAAATTTTTTAACCAATAATAATAATGTGGTAAATGTTTTGAACGTAGTTAATAACGATGATTATAATGATAACAAAATATTGATAATAAGGTTTATGCAGGTGGCGATAAGAATAACAAAGGTAGTAATATATGTATATGTAGACAATTCAATAAATAAATTAGGTCAAATCTTAAAAGTTACGTAATACTAAGGGTGAAGTGGACAGATAATCAGACTTTAAATAAATAACATAAAAATATGAAGGAGATGGAAAATAAGAAAGGGTGGGAGGGTTTTGAATAGAATTCAACTAGGCCAAGGGAGAGACAAAGGTAGAACAAACTTCTTTTGTATGCAAAGACTAGGATTGTTCTCTCGAATTCCCATAGCTTCGGCTATGTGTAAAAGACGGATTCGAATTCCGTTCGAAAGGCTCGATGGAATGCGATAGATAACTTTGAAGGCACTATTTTTGTCCACTTGGTGACCGCTATCAAACAAATGAGCCAAAATAGAACTTCTTATAGATTTTATTTAACCTTTTCCAAACCATGAAGGAAGATGCTCATTAATGCGTTTGTTAAGCTGTCTAGTTGTTCGCCCTATATAGCTTTCTCCACAGGAGCAACTAAATTTATAGATACACATAGATGTGGCACAGCTAGGTAGCTTATCTTTCACTTGAGCAATCATAATTGGTCGGCTGGAAAATGACAAACAAAGGGTGGCGGCAGTATAAGTCCGTTTTATCGCTCTCGATAATCTCAGATGTAAGACTTCGCTAGCCACGTCCCCATTAAATTGTAATTTCATGAACAGTTGTTTCTTTTCAACTGTTGTCAGTTTCTCTTTATTGTACTTGGTGTTCATGTGTCTCCTTACAAATCTACTATGAAAACCCATTTGAACCAGCGTATTTTGGATGTATCCAACTCATTTTGTAGGGAGTCATCTGTACAGATACGTCTTGCTCTATTCGTGAGGCATCTGACCAAATTGACTTTGTATCGGATTGGTACAAAACTGAGGAAATGTGTATATTGTCCTACAGATGTAGGTTTTCTATAGACATCTCTCTTGAGTGAACCATCCTCTCTTCTGCTCAATTGGACGTCAATCACCGTCACTGGTTAAAAATTTTTATATATAAATCTATGTAAATTCGAGTAAAGCCTGAAGAAGATCTAATTGAAAACAATATTGTTCGCTTATATGTCTTGTTCCTTTAATTTTCTTTAGTGTAACTGTGGAACACGATGGTTTTTGGCAACAGAATTGATTATTTGATGAAAATGATATACAATCATGATAAAATATAAAAACCCTAATTTTCATGAGTTTTTTTTGTAGGGATTTGATTTGTTTCAAGCTTGATCAAGGATTGATATCAGTTAGAGAACCACTGAAAACCGATGGTTGTTTCGTCCGAGCCTTGGACTCATCCGCAGTACGCACCCACTGGGTTTCGAATCCATGACCTTCCGGTTATAAATCAAGCTCGTAGACCATTCAGTCATTGGGACCCGATTCAATGGCCAGTGTCATCTGTGGCGAGTATTTAACCTCACCAGCGACCTGGTGGACCCCACTGGTTACAACTTCTGACTATAACTCCAGGCAACTTCGTTCTGTAGCCAGCTACTAGCTTGTCTTGTAACTTGAAGGTCCTGGTTTAAAATCTCAGTGGGTGCGTACTGCCGATGAGTCCCAGACTAGGAAGAAGCAGCTGTCCAGTACTCTTTGATGGTTTTCAATGGTTCTGTAACTGATGATCAAACCATGATCAAACTTGAGATAAAAACCCTAAATTAAAAAAGTTGCATTGTGAGTTTCTTTTGTCCTTCATGTTTTCCTCATTATGTCGCAAAGATGTTTCTTTTCTTAGCATGATTTATCATTCTACTATTTAAAATTCTTATCTGCCACACTAGCAATATCAAAACTGACTAGCGATAAGCATATTACCTGTTTAGTTATTACAGTCCACACTGTTCAAGTGTGAAATGTAACCACTAAGCTGAATAGTATGACACAACTGTGTAGTTCATTTCAAATTCAAATTGATTACTTACAAATTATTAAAATGTCAAGTGAAATTTCGGCTTTTTTTCAAATTACCCAGAGAGACTCATTCGACACTGTAAATCACAACATGAGGATGAATGTAAACTCAATATAATAGATCATACTGAATGGTAGTCTCATTTCGAGACGAATCAGTACTCGGCTCCTAAACGAAACATTTGAACTGATGTTTAAATCATTTTGATTGGATTAGTAAGTAACTGCAGATGAGATGAGATTAGGTTCATTGTTTATTTACTGCTAAATCATAAGCGAGTACTAGTAGGGATTCTGGAGTGCAACTGATCTGATAGCATATATAGGACAAATAGATATCTCCAACTGGCAGAAGTTGGAATTCATGAGCTGTTGAACCGACTGCCAGTGGTTGGATAGTCTGCGAGCTTGTCTAGGTTGGAACCCGGTGACTGCATCCTGGAGAAGAGTTCCAAACTTGCATGAAACAGCTCTCCAGTACTCCCTGGTCTATCAGTGGTTATCTGACTGATGTCACCTCGTGATTAAACCTTTAGCCAATCAAATCCCTGTAAACCAACACTTATTATTATTCCCTTGCGTTCCGAGTGAAACAAAGGGCTTCAACAACACATCTCCACTTTGTTCTGTTTTCTGCCGTCCTCTTCAGCTGGGTCCACGATTGACCAAACTCTCTCATCTCTTCCCCACACGATCTCCTCCATGTCACCCTCGCACCGACGACCCACTCGTCACTTCCTATTTGGATTCCACTCGAGCTATGGTCTGGCATGCGATGTCATTCGGCGGCCTCCTCAGTGTATGCCCGATCCATCTCCACTTCCTCTTACATATTTGTTGAGCGATCGGCTCTTATTGCTTATTCTTTCTGGCCATTTGATATTCAGTATGGTGCCAGCCAGCGAAGGTGGCAGCTGTTGATGAAAGTCTGAAGTCCTGTTGGAAATCCTTTTCGTGACACGCAGTGCAAGTTTCTGACCCGTACAGAAGAACCGGCTTCACATTGGTGTTGAAAATGTGAATCTTGTTCCTTATGCTGAGTGCGGAAGCTTTCCAGACTAGTTTCAGGTTGATGAAGGCGTATCTTGCCTTTCCTATTCTGATTTTGACATCTTCGTCCGTTCTGTCCTGTAGTTGAGACGATGCTTCCCAGATAAGTGAAGGAGGCAACCTCTGTTAAATCTCTCCCAAAACTTGAAAATGAATAAATGTCGCTGCATCTGCATCCATATTTATTCTTGACCAACACCAAACTGACTTATAAATACAGAGTACGAAAAGAACAAAAGCGTATAGTATCAGACTATAATGAATATTCAAAATAAAAGCGGCCTAATCAGAGTGTTAGTCAATGAAAACAAGAAATAGCATGATAAAAGTCATTTGATATTGATCGGTTTTTACAGCTGTTATTGTTGTCACTTACAAATTCCATCTAGCTCGTCTCGTAACCGGAAGGTCCTGGGTTCGAGCGCCGGTGGATGCGTACTACTGAAGAGTCTCGAACTAGGACGAAATAGCTGTCCAGTACCGGCGGTTCACTGACAGAAAACTGTCTAACCATGCAAGTGGTCCGGTGTTCGATCCCTGGCCGATGCACTCCTTTACTTCGCCTAGCCAGTAGTAAGCCCTGTAGAGAGGGAAGGTTAGGCGTAAGGCTAGCAACCCCACCCCGTAGAAACAGTACCAGTGCTACTGAAACTTCAAAACTCCAGCTTGAAGACCTTTGCCCCACTGGGAACGCAAAGGACTCAAATACGTAATAATAAAACTATCGTTTAGTAAACTAGGCGAAGTTTAAGAGTACGTCTCTTGGGAATCGAACCAAGACCTCTCGAGTGTCTGGTAAGTATTCTGCCTCCGAACCACCGACCCACAGTTCGTTCTTACTTTTATTATTTACCATTTTTAACTTTGTGATATATATACATGGATAACAGTACACAAAATATCCTTAACAAGATTACCTAATTGTTGGGAAATACATATTCAGTTATCCAACTGGTAATCCAGCCATATTATTTCTACCTCTTGGACTGAATAACAATACTACTACTGCTACTAATAATACTACTGATAATAAAAGTGGCAGTAGTAGCAGCAACACTAATGGTGTACTATTCGTTGTACACGATCAGCTACACATCGATATGACAAACTTGAAAGAGAAAACAAATCCGACTGTTAAACAAAAGAGAAATACTTCTAATAATAACAACAACAAAACTGATGTTAATAATAATAATAATAATAGTAAAATTAAAAAATCTTCAAATTTGCGCATACAATCAACTGTTGGTCAATTAATTGGTGTATTTGATACAAATATTCATGGAGTGGTTTATGACAGAAACAATAATATACGGTAGGTAATATTTTGATTTCAGTTGTGTGTGTTTTTTTTTAAATTTTGTAAACAAATGCCTATTTAAAAAAACAACAACAAAATAATTGAGCAAAGAATATTCTTTTCGGTAATTTTGCTCTTCTGGCTCTACAATTATACATAAATATGTTTATATAGATAGAATATTCCAGAATAGTAGTTTAAAACAATATTGGTCTGTTTTTTTAAATAATATCGATTTGTTAAGTAAGATCAATGGAATTACAGTTCATTAAAGATGCTTAAATTATAATAATAATATAATAGCAAATAGAATATCAACTAAAATTAAGGAAATTTCCACAAAAATATTGAGGATCATTAGAACCTAGATGGCCAAGGTAAGGACAGTGTCTGAACCAACTTCTTTTGGACACATAAGTTAGGCTTCTTAATGTGGATCCTAACGGCCTCAGCTATATGTAGTAGGTGAACTCTTAAGGTGAGGTTAAGATTTGTTGGTATGCGATAAAAGACTTTGAAAGCTGCCTCATTAACATCAATCTTGTATTCTGTATCCACGAAATGACATAAAATAGAGCTGTGAATGGATTTTGTTTATCCTTTACTTAACCACTGTGCAGGATGATGTTCGGAAATCCGACGAGAAACACGACTAACTGTACGGCTATATTGAAGTGCCTATTACATTTGAAAACATAATTTAAAAACAAATGAGCATAATATTTCATAGTAGGTGACTGGAGGCGGACTTAAGTTTCGCACTTGTTGGCACTCATCAACAAGGCGTGCCTGCAGTGTCAAAGAAACTGACGTGCCCTAAGAGATTCGGACCCGCTTCAGTCAGTGCTTTAGTCTGAGTTGTTACCACACTGAGTTATTTAGGCTCACAAGGAAGTAATTGGTGTCATGTTTCTAGTCCTTATTGCTGATGTTGACTGAATTTGTATTGTCTGTTCAGGTTCTCTTCTAACGACAGAATACAAAGGCCAGGCAACAGATTGTTTATTGAAAAAAATCAAGAGATATTTATGAATTTTTATGTACATTATTGTTAGCGGAGAAGCAACCTCTTCTGATTGGTTGTTTTCTCGCTGAAGGTTATTCTGTTATCACTTTGTGACCGTTTCTCAGAAAGTTAAGCCATATATCTGCGAATCCTATTTGCACACGTTAAGTCTGCTGTGATTGGTTGGTGATTTTCTCAAGGTTAATCTTTGTCATTGTTATTCTCATGACCCTGATTCGGGACGTGAACACTGACGTCAGTTGTTGTCTACAATTTTGGCTTGTTTGCAGCCAGTTCTCACCACAGTTCTGCTTCCGTTGTTGGTATTATTGGGCGCGTTGTAGGTGGCGGTCGATTAAGAAGTCATTTGAAGTGTTCAGCCCAGTGTTTCCTTTGCTCCACCTCTTCAGTGATTGACTTTTCAATGCTTGAAGTTTCTCTAGTAAAATAAAAAAGTGGCAAGCAAGAGCAGTAACAGCATACTGAGGTAAATAAAATTATAAGATTACATAATTCACTAGAAAATTGTTAGATACATAAATGAAATATGAAAAATTATTTTGTGAGTAAAGTTCATTTGGTAAGATATCAGACGTGTGAAGCATGCTACTTAATAAATAATGATGTAATTAAGTAAGGTTAAAAGATTGCTTACTCAAGGTGCATCTCAGAACACTATCCGGTATAGCTATCAAGAGGTGAATGAAAGCTAATCATTAAAATTCAAGTAATTATTAAATTTTATCTGAGTGCATTTCTTCTTTTGTAGTATAGTTTTAATAGTTACAATATAATGAGATAATAATTAGATGAACTAAATAAAATAATGAATAAGGTCAATAATTATTTGATAGTTGGCTTACATATTACACTCTTTCCAATAATTAATTATACCAAAGATAGGATCGCTGCTGGATTTATTGATTAACAAGAAAAAGCACTTCATTTTACATAACTTCTCTGTGATGTTTCATCACCTTCATCTTCTCTTTGTTCACCTGAAGTCCTGTCTTCACTGCCTGCCTATTCTGCCAATTTGGTGGTTTTCGCCTGTAGGTCTCTGAGTCTATGTGAAGTTCTGATCTTCTAGAGTCTTCTTTTAGGTTTAGAGTATTCCTGCCTTCTTGCTCCCCACGCACGGTGTTCCGTACAGTTCAGTCTACCATAATCAAGAATGTCATCGGTGATAATAGCCAGTCTAGTATTGCTCCTGTTTTCACTCCAAGGGCTTCCTTGAGTCTTCCGTTGTGGATCACTTGATATGTGCCGTTGTCTTACAGCTGCTGAATGAGGTCGATAAAGATTCGGGGCACTGCACTGCGTAGTATTGAAATAGTTTCCCAAATACTTCGCGGTCAACGCTGTTGAAGGCTTTTTTCAAAGCCGATGAAATTTATGTAGAGGTTTGCCTGCTATTCTACGCTTTGTTTGGTGATGATGTGTACAGTTGCAAGTTGATGCGCACATGATTAGCTTTTCCTGAATCCAGCTTGTTTCGGTCTGGCGGAGTTATGCATCCAGTGCAGCTTTCATTCTCTCCAGAATGACACAATTTAATTTTTTTGGCTCAGACAAAAGCATGATTCCGCACCAATTTTCTCAGAGGTCTAAGTTGCCCTTCTTTGGTACTTTGACAATGTAGCCTTTCTTCCAATCAGTAGGCACCTTTTCTTCCTTCCTAACTTTTCACTATAGTTGCGCGGGTCAACTCATATGAAGTGTATTTATGTCACTGAAAACCAGCAGAGAGTACTGGTCAATTGTTTCGTTCTAGTTTGGGACTCTTCAGTAGCCCGCATCCATGAACCCACTGGGAATCGAATCCAGGACCTTTGTGTGTGTTACGAGGCGAGCTCTCTGAATATTCACCCACCGGGAAGGAGTCCAGTGGCCAGCCCATGAATTCTAATTTCTGCCATTTAGCAATATATAGGGGGACCACCGACCAGTGTCATCGGCGAGTATTCCTCCTCGTAACCGTGACTTGATGGAAGCCCATTTCTCACTAGAATTCTAAGCAAATTCGTCTTGTAGTAGATCATTAGCGAGCATCAGAGCATCAACTACTAGGTGATATCATCAGCCTTTACTCAATAATTATAGGTATTAGCTTTGTACATGAATAATCACATGTTCTCATATAATTTCAAATGTATGCGAACAATAAACAATAAATGTAGGTCAAAAATGCTATTTTCAGTGTAATACCTTTTTTTTACAATGTGCTGTTAAATAGTTTCAAAAAACTCCTATGCAATAGCTTACATATTTATTGGAGAAATATTCTTCATGTACTGGCCTATGAACTACCGTCATTATGTGAGACCTGATGTCACTTCTCGAGTGCCCTGGTTGAAGAAAGTGAAGCGGAACTCTAACTTGTAACCTACTGACTAAAAGTGGATTTTTGATTGGATACTAGTAACTAGAGTGATGTGTCTAGTCCTTTCTTTGTTGCAGACTGAATTCTATCAGTCACATTTGCAATGTGGCCACCACGCTAGACGACTCGCCATCACGGTGCACTGTGAATAGTTGGTATTAGATGGTTGGAGGCAATCGACCACAGGAAGCCTTACTTGACCTAGGTTTCGTGCTAGTTGGCACTCACCAATCAGCAAGGCGTATCTGTAACCTTGAAGGAACTCATGTCCCTTCTGAGATTCGAACCTGAGTCACCCACTGAGTGCTGCAGTCAGAGACATTACCACTGAGCTATTAGGCTAATTCGGGCTCGCGATTGACCTCCTGTAGGACTGTATTGGATTTTAAAAATAAATGAACCAGTCCTCCCAATGCAATGGCTAGATATGTTGTAAGACAGATATAAAAGAACTTTCTCGCATATAGGTTCATGATTTTTCATGAATACTAAAAGCATTCGCTGCATTACAGTGCAGCAATTAACTGGTTAATCTGAATTATTATTTCTACTATGATTGATTGTTAATATTTGTCAGTGGATATCGACAGCCGGTATTATGCTTCTGTCCATCCCAAGCGAAATGCTAAGCCGCATCATCCTGGAGAGAATCAAACACACAGTGGATGAAAAACTTCGACCGAAACAGGCTGGATTCAGAAGAAAAAAGTCATGTATTGATCAAATCGCCACATTACGGATCATCATTGAACAAAGTTTGGAGTGGCAGTCACCTCTCTATCTCAACTTCATCGACTTTGAAAAGGCCTTCGACAGCGCAGCGTCGATCGAGAGGTGCTTTGGAAACTACTTCGCTACTACCGGCTGCCACCGACAATTATACATCTCATCCAACAGTTGTACGACAATGCTGCATGCCAAGTAATCCACAACGAGAAACTTACGGAATCTTTCGAAGTGAGGACAGGAGTAAGACAAGCTGGCTGCCTACTATCGCCAATGATTTTCCTGATTGCAGTGGATTGAATAATGCGACAAACAGCGGACAATGACGAAACAGGCATAAAATGGACTCACACAGAAAACTTGGAGGATCTGGACTTCGCCGATGATATATGTCTGATTTCCCACAAGCTGGAAGACATGCAAGCGAAAAGCAACAAGTTAGCAGAAGAAGCATCCAAAGAAGATAGGACTTCAGGTGAACATAGAGAAAACAGCAGAGGTGATGAATATTCCTGGGCAACACCAACAGTAACAGCAACCACAGACAACAATCAGCATAAATGGAAGGAACCTGAAGGAAACAACCTCTTTTAACTACCGACCTGGGAAGCATCATTTCAACTATAGTCGTACGGAACTGACGAGGACATCAAACCAAGAATCGGAAAAGCAAAACAAGCTTTCACTACTCTCAAGTCTGTGTGGAGGTCAACAGCACTCAGCATCAAAAATAAGATCCGGATTTTCAACTCCAATGTGAAGTAAGTCAGTGCTACTCACTATACGGATCAGAGACTTGGCCAGCGCGTCATAAAGACCATCTCAAACAAACTACAGACCTTCATTAACAGTTACCTTCGCTCAACACTCAAGATCAGATGGCCTGCCAGAAAAGATCAG